AGTGGCTGATCCTGCAATAAAACATCAGCTTTGGGAAAAATTGAGAGGGGGGATAAGTTAATCAGAAGTAATAAGGAGGGAGATTGAAGCTAGGGTTGCCAGATCTCCCACCACAGGGAAGGAATCTCATGACAAATATGCTGCCTTGAAAGAGGCGAATTTTTCTCAATTGTTAGACTGTCACATTTTGTGAAGAAATGATATTAAAGTTCTTAATTAGTCAGTCAACCGATTATATATATATGCAGTCCCCTGCCATGTGTTGCTGTGGCCCATTATGTGTATGTGTTTTGTGTGTGTGTGTGTGCATATATTTGTATATATGTGTGTTTGTGTATATATGTGTGGTTTTGCGGATGCATTATAATGTATTTTTTATTTTTTGGATTTTTTAATCTCTTCTGCTGTGATTTTCAGTGTTTTTATGACTGATGTTCACTCATTGGCCTGATAGGTGTATTGTGTCCAAATTTGGTGTCAATTTGTCCAGTGGTTTTTTGAGTTATGTTAATCCTGCAAACTAACACACACACACAGATACCCCATAAAAATAGGAAAAGAATGGGTACAGATTCTCAAGGGCTGCTTTATGGAGGGCACTGTGTAGCTTTCCAGTGTGACAGATGGACCAGGGCTATAAATCCAAAGGGCAGAAGGTGGACTCTGGATGCTACAAGGTTGGATAATAATAATAATAAAATCCCAACCCTATCCTGTCTCTGGATCAAGAAGTTCAAAAGGTGGCCAAGGAGAAACAGGGCAGATGGTGATTGATTTGATTTGTTGAGGCAAACAAAAGGAAGAAGAAATCAACACACCGAGAGAAGTAATCCATTTGCCCCTAGGAACAACTGCCCGCAGCATACATCTGGAGCTCATTCCAGATGGATCCAGATCTTCAGCTTCCTTTAAAAGATACAAGACTTACCCCAGATTAATTAATGTTTACCTTGCAAAAAAAAAAAACCCGAATGCTAACAAGCTTTGGGGGATATCAGCTTTGTCATGGCCATTCTCAGATCTTCCAGTCCAACCCCATTCTGTCATGTAGGAAGACACAATCAAAGCACTCCCAACAGATGGCCATCTAGCTAACTTCCAAAGAAGGAGACTCCACCACACTCCCAAGCAGTGGCATATTACACTAATGAACAGCCCTCACCATCAGAAAGTTATCCCTAATGTATTGTTGAAGGTTTTCATGGCCAGGATCACTGGGTTGTTGTAGGTTTTTCTGGGCTATATGGCCATGTTCTAGAGGCATTTTCTCCTGACGTTTCGCCTGCATCTATGGCAAGCATCCTCAGAGGTAGTGAGGTCTGTTGGAAGTAGAAAAATGGGTTTATATATCTGTGGAATGACCACAGTGAGACAAAGGACTCAGGTGGTCAGTTGAAACATTCACACCTAGCTCCAGCAGACAAGAGTCCTTTGTACCACCCTGGTCATTCCACAGATATATAAACTTTTTTCCTAGTTCCAACAGACCTCACTACCTCTGAGGATGCTTGCCATAGATGCAGGCGAAACGTCAGGAGAGAATGCCTCTAGAACATGGCCATATAGCCCGAAAAAACCTACAACAACCCAGTTATCCCTAATGTTTAGGTGGAATCGCTTTTTCTTCCATTTGAATCCATTGCTCCATTGTGCCCTAGTCTTCAGAGCACCAGAAAACAAGTTTGCTCCCTCCTCAATGTGTCATCCTTTAAAATATTTAAGCATGGCTATCATGTCCCTTCCTGGCCTTCTTTAGTCCAAGCTAAACCTACTCAAATGGCTTAGTTTCCAAACCTTTGATCACTTTGGTCACCCTTCTCTGGACATATTTTAGTTTGTCAATATTCTTCTTGAATTGAGGTGCCCAGAACTGGACACAGTGTGATTCCAGGTAAAGTCTGACCAAAGCTAAACTCACCTGTCCAAACTTCCAGGGAGCTTCCGGACACAGAAAAGGTGACACCTCCAAACTCTGTGCAGCCTCAGAGTTAGGATTGCAGAGGGAGAAGGTATATAAACACCTCCAGCCTTTTACCTGTCTTTCTCCTCTCCCTTACTCCACCCAGAGCAAAGGGCAAGGAGATTAATGCAGCACACCTGGCAGGTAGCTGGGGGAGGGGAGGGCTCCCACTCAATGTAGTATAAGTTTATTGTATTATAGAAACTGATTTTACTGAATTATTACAAAAATATTTTAATTTTTATTTAAAGTATTATTTATTTGAATTTTTTGCCATTTGCTTGAGTTCCAGTAAACGGAGAGTCTATTATACATCGTATCTACAACTACAAGACTACAACTATGGGTGCATCTATACACTTTTATTTATGATTTCAAATTGCTAGGTTGGCAGAAGCTAGGGCTGACAGTCGGGAGCTTGCCCCAACTCGCGGCTTCAAAGTGCTAACCCTCTGGTCAGCAGTTTTTCCTGCACTAGCAGATAATAATAATAATAATAATAATAATACCTTTATTTATACCCCGCCACCATCTCCCAAGGGACTTGGAGCAGCTCACATGAGGCCAAGCCCAACAACACATCAATAAAAACAACAAGCAATAAGCAAAATAAATAGTACAATTAATATAACTCAATTGTACTAATTGTACTATTTATTTTGCTTATTGCTTGTTGTTTTTATTGATGTGTTGTTGGGCTTGGCCTCATGTAAGCTGCCCCAAGTCCCTTGGGAGATGGTAGCGGGGTATAAATAAAGTTTTATAAATAAAGAGTACAATTAATATAACTCAGGAGCCCCCGATGGCACAGTGGGTTAAACCCCTGTGCCGGCAGGACTGAAGACCGACAGGTCGCAGGTTCGAATCCGGGGAGAGGCGGATGAGCTCCCTCTACCAGCTCCAGCTCTTCATGCGGGGACATGAGAGAAGCCTCCCACAAGGATGATAAAAAGTAAAACATCAAATCATCCAGGCGTCCCCTGGGCAACGTCCTTGCAGACGGCCAATTCTCTCACACCAGGAGCAACTTGCTCCTGACACGACAATATATATATATATATCTCACACGTAGACAATAACACACAAGGGTTCAAAACCCCACTCTGCTACCACAGCCCCTTCTACACTGTAGAGTGAATGCAGTTTGACCCCACTTTAACTGCTATGATTCAATGCTATGGGATCTTGGAAGTTGCATTTTGACAAAGTCTTTCTGGTGGTATCTCACCAAATGACAACTCCGAGGCTTCCCAAGCATTGAGCCAAGAAGTTAAATGGCATTCAGCATCTGTTAAAATAACACACAAACAAAGCACAGATCTGGGGCAAGTCACACTCTCTCAGCCTCAGGGGGAAATGCGATAAAAGCCTTACAGTGACTTGAAGGCACAGGGCAACAGCTTCCTTTATGCTTCCTTAATTGAGGCTTTTGTCAACAAAAAGGGAGAAACAAGCATTTAAACTATTAACAAGTCAGGCGAGAACAGGTTACATTTCCACTGGCATTAAAAGAGCAGAAGAACAGAGGCGCCTTCACTTTTCAAAAGAGAAGTGTGGTTAGTGAGTAATGAACCTCTTCCCACAAATTAATATGAGACTTAGGAAGAGGCCCAGAGTTAATGTTATAATGGATATAAAGAATGAATGGTTTTGTGTAATGGTTAGAGTACTGGGAAACCCAGGCATCAGCAAACTTCAAATTTGGACTTCAACTTCCACAACTTATGTATTTATTTACTGTATTTGTATACCGCCCTTCTCAGCCTTCCAGCGACTCGAGGCGGTTTATAAGGCAAAAAGTCAATGCCATATTTATTTATTTATTATTTATTTACTTTATTTGTATACCGCTCTTCTCAGCCATTAGGCGACTCAGAGCGGTTAACAGCAAGCAGCAGCAAAAATTCAATGCAAACATCATACAGCCATTTAAAAACAATTAACACAATAATACACTAAGCAATTAACATCAATAACCATCAATAACATCAATAAACAACTCACTAGCGTCTCATAACTAAAATCATAATCCAAGCTCGTCATCCGTTGTCTGATTCCTATAATTCATTGTAATTCATTGCACTGCCTATTCAAACACCTGTTCAAATAACCAGGTTTAGAGGTAGGGTTAGGGTCAAATAACCAAGTACAATATAAAAACGTTAACATCAATAAAATCATAACAATAACAATAAAACATAAATCAATAAAATCATTGTCCAGTCTCATCGTGTAGTTGCTCCGATTCCTATGTCCGTTACTCAATATTTGCAAATGCTTGCTCGAATAGCCATGTCTTGAGTTCTTTGCAAAACTACAAATCCTTAGCCATGGCAGTGAAAGTGGTGTCACTGCTATGAAATCCCGAAAGTTGTAGTTTTTACAAGGTCTTTTCTGCCCAAGAGGGCTAGTGAATCACCAAACTACCAACTCCAAGATGCAACAATATTGAGTCCAGGCAGTGAAGGGGGTGTCACACTGCATTCATTCCAGAGGCACCCAAGCAAGGAAATGTTCTGCTCAAGCCCTTGTCAAACTACAATGCCCAGAATGCCATAAAATCATAAGAGTTGGAAGAGAACTCATGGGTCATCCAGTCCAACCCCCTGCCAAGAAGCAGGAATATTGCATTCAAAGCACACCTGACAGATGGTCACTCTGCTTAAAAGCAGAGAAGTATCTTCTACCACACTCCAGGGCAGAGAGTTCCACTGCTGAACGGCTGTCACAGTCATGTTTAGATGGAATCTCCTTTCTTGTAGTGTGAATTAGCATTGAGCCAGAGTAGGTCAAGCAGTGTAGTAATAGAACCACCCTGAGATGATCCCCTTTTTCAGCACTAAGGAAGTTAGTTCCCTGCTTCCTTTGGTTTCCCAACTCTATCTCACTGCCAAACACGACTCTTATAAGTTTTTGTTCAAACCCTACAAACCATACCTTCTCCCTGGTGTCTTGGCTCCCCATCCAGCTCAACCCCAAAGTCTTAAATGGGATACTTTCCATACTTTCCCCTTCCAGCACCCCCAAAAGCGAGCTGTACCTCTCTCGGGGCTTCTCCTCCTCCACGGGCGCCTTTCCCTTTAAAGGGCATCCAGATCCCTCCTAATTGCCTTGCCCTGAGGTTTGGAGGCAACAAGCCACTTAAAGGGAGCGGGTGACGACGCCCACTAATAGGATTTGGCTGCAGGATCATCCGTCTGGCTGGGCAGCATTTAGAAGAGAGAGAGAAAGGGGCGGGGCCTCGCAAGCTTCCATTGAGACCCATTGGCCCCAATGCCATGGACGGCCGCTAGGGGCGCTGCTGCGTTTGCTGTTGGGTGCCATCAAGTGATTAGTTGATTAGTTTATTTATTTATTTACTTATTTACTTATAGAATCATAGAATCATAGAATCAAAGAGTTGGAAGAGACCTCATGGGCCATCCAGTCCAACCCCCTGCCAAGAAGCAGGAATATTGCATTCAAAGCACCCCTGACAGATGGCCATCCAGCCTCTGCTTAAAAGCTTCCAAAGAAGGAGCCTCCACCACACTCCAGGGCAGAGAGTTCCACTGCTGAACGGCTCTCACATAGAATCCTAGAATCCTAGAGTTGGAAGAGACCTCATGGGCCATCCAGTCCAACCCCCTGCCAAGAAGCAGGAATATTGCATTCAAATCACCCCTGACAGATGGCCATCCAGCCTCTGTTTAAAAGCTTCCAAAGAAGGAGCCTCCACCACACTCCGGGGCAGAGAGTTCCACTGTTCCACTGTTCTTCCTCATGTTCAGATTGAATCTCCTCTCTTGTAGTTTGAAGCCATTGTTCCGCGTCCTAGTCTCCAGGGAAGCAGAAAACAAGCTTGCTCCCTCCTCCCTGTGGCTTCCTCTCACATATTTATACATGGCTATCATATCCCCTCTCAGCCTTCTCTTCTTCAGGCTAAACATGCCCAGCTCCTTAAGCCGCTCCTCATAGGGCTTGCTCTCCAGACCCTTGATCATTTTAGTCGCTCTCCTCTGGACACATTCCAGCTTGTCAATATCTCTCTTGAATTGTGGTGCCCAGAATTGGACACAATATTCCAGGTGTGGTCTAACCAAAGCAGAATAGAGGGGTAGTATGACTTCCCTAGATCTAGACACTATGCTCCTATTGATGCAGGCCAAAATCCCATTGGCTTTTTTTGCCGCCACATCACATTGTTGGCTCATGTTTAACTTGTTGTCCACGAGGACTCCAAGATCTTACTTTATTTGTATACCGCACTCTCTCAGCCCGTAGGCGACTCAGTGCGGTTTACAGCCAGGTCAATATACAAAGTGCACAACATTAGCATTTAAAACAGTAACTAAGGCAACTACATCAATATAACAATACATCAGTACATCAATATAACATCAATACATCCATATAACTAATCCATCACGTCTCATCAGTAAAGTCATAATCCGATCTCCTCGTCCATTATTCCAAGTTCCAAGATCAATCAATTAATTGCACTGCTTAATTAAACGCCTGTTCAAGGAGCCAGGTCTTCACTCTTCTCCTGAACGCCAGCAGGGAGGGGGCCGATCTAATATCTGCGGGAAGGGCGTTCCACAGCCGAGGGGCCACCACTGAGAAGGCCCTGTCTCTCGTCCCCGCCAGCTGTGCTTGTGAGGCTGGCGGGATCGAGAGCAGGGCCTCCCCGGACGATCTTAATGTCCTAACTGGTTCATAGGGGGTGATGCATTCGGACAGATAGGTCGGGAGTGTGGTGGAGGCTCCTTCTTGGGAAGCTTTTAAACAGAGGCTGGATGGCCATCTGTCAGGGGTGATTTGAATGCAATATTCCTGCTTCTTGGCAGGGGGTTGGACTGGATGGCCCATGAGGTCTCTTCCAACTCTTTGGTTCTATGATTCTATTCAGGAGGAGATGCATTCGGACAGGTAAGTTGGGCCAGAACCGTTTAGGGCTTTATAGGCTAACGCCAGCACTTTGAATTTTGCCCGGTAGCAGACTGGTAGCCAGTGGAGCTGGTGCAACAGAGGAGTGGTATGCTCCTTGAGTGCCGCTCCTGTTAGTATCCTGGCTGCTGAGCATTGGACCATTTGAAGCTTCCGAGCAGTCTTCAAAGGCAACCCCACGTAGAGAGTGTTGCAGTAGTCTATACGGGGATGTAACCAGTGCGTGGACTACCGTGGCCAAGTCAGACTTCTCAATTGACAGCGGTATATTTCATTTATATACCGCTTTTGTCATCCCATAGAAGTGGTTCTCAACTTTCCTAATGCCTTGACCCCTTAATACAGTTCCTCATGTTGTAGTGACTCCCAACTATAATTCATAACTGTAATTTTGCTGCTGTTATGAATCGTAATGTAAATATCTGAAATGCAGGATGTATTTTCATTCACTGGACCAAATTTGGCACAAATACCCGATACACCCAAATTTGAATACTGGTGGGGTTGGAGGGGATTGACCTTGTCATTTCATAGAATCATAGAATCAAAGAGTTGGAAGAGACCTCATGGGCCATCCAGTCCAACCCCATTCTGCCAATAAGCAGGAATATTGCATTCAAATCACCCCTGACAGATGGCCATCCAGCCTCTGTTTAAAAGCTTCCAAAGAAGGAGCCTCCACCACACTCGGGGCAGAGAGTTCCACTGCTGAACGGCTCTCACAGTCAGGAAGTTCTTCCTCATGTTCAGATGGAATCTCCTCTCTTGTAGTTTGAAGCCATTGTTCCCCGTCCTAGTCTCCAGGGAAGCAGAAAACAAGCTTGCTCCCTCCTCCCTGTGGCTTCCTCTCACATATTTATACATGGCTATCATATCTCCTCTCAGCCTTCTCTTCTTCAGACTAAACGTGCCCAGCTCCTTTGTTTAAGATCTAGGGAGGCCCTGCTCTCTGCCCCGCCTCTGTCCCAAACACGTTTGGCGGGGACAAGGGACAGGGTCTTCTCAGTGTTGGCCCTCAACCTGTGGAATTCACTTCCCGGGGAAATTAGGTCACCATAATCCCTCCTCACCTTTAGAAAGAAGGTAAAAACGTGGATGTGGGACCAGGCCTTCGGGCAATTAGTTTAAAAGGACAACTGACAATGTTGACTAAGGCTTGAAAGTGGATTATGGATAAGTTAAACGGAGTACTCAGTCTTAGTATGCGGCGAGATAAATAGCTACCAGACTGGTAATAGCTCAGTGGACTGTAAGTATACTGTTTTAATCTTTATGTCTTAATGTTTATGCTTTTAACTGTTATAATTGCTGTTTTGTATTTTATTATGCTGTCAATTGGAACCTGCCCTGAGTCCCCCTAGGGGTTGAGAAGGGTGGGGTAAAAGTGTTTAAAATAAATAAATAAATAATTTTGGGAGTTGCAGTTGCTGAGATTTATAGTTCGCCTACAATCAAATTGCATTCTGAACACCACCAATGGAATTGAAGCACACTTGGCACACAGAACTCGCATGACCAACAGAAAATACTAGAAAGGTTTATTGGGTATTGACCTTGAGTTTTGAAGTTGTAGTTCACCTACATCCAGAGAGCACTGTGGACTCAAATAATGGTGGATCTGGGCCAAACTTGGCACGAATACTCAATATGCCCAAATGTGATCACTAGTGGAGTTGGGGAAAACAGACCTTGACATTTGGGAGTTGTAGTTGTTAGGATTTATAGTTCATCTACAATCAAAGAGCATTCTGAACACCACCAATGATAAAATTGGGCCAAACTTCCCACACAGAACCCCCAAGACCAACAGAAAATACTATGTGATGCGGCGGCAAAAAAAGCCATGGGATTTTGGCCTGCATCGATAGGAGTCTAGTGTCTAGATCCAGGGAAGTAATGCTACCCCTCTATTCTGCCTTGGTTAGACCACACCTGGAATATTGTGTCCAATTCTGGGCACCACAATTGAAGGGAAATATTAGATAATAGAATCATAGAGTTGGAAGAGACCTTGTGGGCCATCCAGTCCAACCCCCTGCCAAGAAGCAGGAAAATCACATTCAAAACCCCCGACAGATGGCCATCCAGCCTCTGTTTAAAAGCCTCCAAAGAAGGAGCCTCCACCACACTCCGGGGCAGAGAGTTCCACTGCTGAACAGTTCTCACAGTCAGGAAGTTCTTCCTAATGTTCAGGTGGAATCTCCCTTCCTGTAGTTTGAAGCCATTGTTACTCGTCCTAGTCTCCAGGGCAGCAGAAAACAATTCTCCCTCCTCCCTATGACTTTCTCTCACATATTTATACATGGCTATCATGTTTCCTCTCAGCCTTCTCTTCTTCAGGCTAAACATGCCCAGCTCCTTAAGCCACTCCTCATAGGGCTTGTTCTCCAGACTTATCATTTTAGTCGCCCTCCTCTGGACACATTACAGCTTGTCAATATCTCTCTTCAATTGTGGTGCCCAGAAGACAGAACAAGCTGCGTTTTGTTGTTGTTGTTGTGGCGTTAGTGATTAGGACACAATGGAGCAATAGATTCAAATTGCAGGAAATGAGATTCCATATAAAATTAGGAAGAACGTTATTACGTAATCATCTTTGGAGTTTTATAAGCAGAGGCTGGATGGCCACCTGTCGGGTGTGCCTGCAGGCAGAGGCGGCCCTAGGTAATTTTCAATGGTAAGCAAACAGTATTTTGTGCCCCCCCCCCCCCAACCAATCACTGATATATATATATATTTTCTGTTCGTCATGGGAGTTCTGTGTGCCATATTTGGTTCAATTCCATCATTGGTGGAGTTCAGAATGCTCTTTGTTTGTAGGTGAACTATACATCCCAGTAACTACAACTCGCATATGTCAAGGTCTATTTTCCCCCAAGAGCCTCAAGAGCACCCCTGGGCAAAATCAACTATACTGCAAATGCTTACTTTGCGTAATGGATTGAGCTGCCCCTGATTGTGTCTTCCCGCATGACAGAAGGGGGTAGATTGGATGACCCTTGGGGTTTCTTCCAACTCGATGTATAGATTCCAACCCTGGATTCCTGGTGTTTTAATTCATCAGACCACACTGGCTGTGTGCAGTTCTGGGCGCCACAATTCGAGAAGGATCTTGACCATTCAAGAAGGATATTCCCAGGCACTGCAGTAATTACTTAACCTGGCAGCTGGCAAACAAACAATATTGCCCAAGGCATAGCCGGGCTGTTCCTTGTGACTGCTACGTCACTGTCTTCCTATGTTGGGTTGCCACGTAAACCCTTCCCATGAGAAAGCTCTAGT